TTCTTGTGTTGTACATTAGAACCCCATAATTTATAACTGCAAGTTTATACCTCTTATTTGCCTTCACCTTTTATACTCATTTCCCCACTCCTGCCCTCTGTCAACCATCACTTACTTCTCTATATTTATGATTCTGTTTCTGTTTTCCTTTGTTCATTTGTTTCTTTTTTGAAGTACATATAAGTAAAATCACGTGACATTTGCCTTTCTCTGTCTGACTTACTTAACATAATACCCTCTAGGTCCAACCATGTTGTGGTAAATGCAAGATTGCATTATATTTTATTGCCGAATAATATTTATTTGTATCTATGTATATGCATATATGTGGTATATATCTAACATCTTCTTTATCAAATACACGAATTATCAATAGAGTATTTTAGTTTTTTAAATAGCTTGATTTGTCACAGATAATGATAATCTTCTGTCAGAACACCTCTTCTGGAAGTTCCAGCTAAGATGGAGGCATAGGTAGAAGAAACATTTTGCTTCCTCGCACAACTAAAAAGGGGATAACAACTAATTTAAAATCAACAAACAACCAGAATTGCCAGAAAATCAAACTGTGTGGAGCTCCAATAACCAAGCAATTAAAGAAGTAGTAAATGAGAACAACCAGACTGGTGTGCCTAGACAAAGAAATATGGCCCAAATGAAAAAACAGAGCAAAACCTCAGAAAGAAAGCTAAACAATGGGGAGATGGCCCACCTATGTCATGGAGAATTTAAAGCCCTGGTAAACAAAATGCTCACAGAACTGACTGAGTTTGGTCAAAAAATGAGAAAAACAAATAAAAGATGCCCAGAATGAAATAAAGCAAAATATCCAGGGAACCAACAGTGACAGGAAGGAAACCAGGAGTCAAAGCAATGATATGAAACAAAAGGAAGAAATAAACATCCAACTATAACAGAATGAAAAAAACAAGAATTCATAAAAATGAAGAGAAGCTGAGGAATCTCTGGGACAACCTGAAATGTTCCAATATCTGAATTATAGTGGTGCCAGAAGAAGAAGAACAACAGCAAGAAATTGAAAACTTATTTGAACAAATAATGAAGAAAAACTTCCCTAATCTGGCAAAGAAAATAGATTTCTAAGAAGTCTAGGAAGCTCAGAGAGTCCCAAAGAAGTTGTACCCAAAGAGGAACACACCAAGGAACATCATCATTAAGTTAACCAAGATTAAGGATAAAAAGAGAATCTTAAAAGCAGCAAGATACTTGAAAAATAACTAAATAAAATTTTTTTAAAAAGCAGCAAGAGAAAAGGAGAGAGTTACCTACAAAGGAGTGCCCATAAAGCTATCAGCTGATTTCTCAGAAGAAACCTTACAGGCAAGAAGGGGCTGGAAACAAGTATTCAAAGTCATGAAAGGCAAAGACCTTTCCAAGGGGGGTGTGTGTGTGTGTGTGTGTGTGTATATATATCCATCCAAGATTACCCTACCCAGCAAAACTTTCATTTAGAATGGAAGGGCAGATAAAGTGCTTCTCAGATAAGGTCCAGTTAAAGGAGTTCATCATCACCAAGCTCTTACTATATGAAATATTAAAGGGACTTATTTAAGAAGAAGAAGATAAAAAATATGAATAGTAAAATGACAACAAACTCACAACTCAATAAATGAACTTAAAATAAGAAAAGACAGACAATTAAAACAAAAACTAAGCAAACAACTAGAACAGGAACAGAATCAGAGAAATAGACAGATTGGACATCACATTGGACAGATTTCAGTGGGGAGGGGGAAGGGAGGAATGGGAGGAAAAGGTACAGGGAAGAAGAAGCATAAATGGTAGGTACAAAATAGACAGGGGAAGGTTAAGAATACTATAGGAAACAGAGAACTCAAAGAACTTACATGTACAACCCATGGACATGAACTAAATGGAGGGGGGAATGCTGGAGGGTTGGGGAGTGCAGGGCAGAGGGAGGATGAAAGGGTAGAAATTGGGCAACTGTACTACCATAATCAATAAAATATACTTAAAAAAGGAAGACCTCTTCTTATTTCTAGTTGTCATTCTGGGGCCTTTGACCTAAAGGTGATGACGTTCATGAGGGACATATGGGGTTGGTTGTGAAGACAATTTCTGAGCTTGAAACAACTTATGTTCTTATTTTGCTGGTTTACACACTGCTTAGAGAAAGTGGCATTCCTCCTACCATCCATGTCTTCCCTTTTAATTCTTTCCCCATTCTTAAGCAATTCTTAAGCTGTTAATCGTAATGTTCGGAGGGTCACGAGGGAGAATAATGGGGAAGGTTGCAGGTGAAAGAAAAGTGGGAAATGATGGTACTGCCATTGAATTACTGGATAATCTTGGGCAAGTCACTTAGTTTTATAACCCTCAATTTTCTCATTTGTGTATTGGCGTTAATACCTTTTTTTTAGCAACCTAAGGATATTGTTGGGCAGAAATAAGGAACTTGGAAGGGACTATGATGATGTAGATTCAGAAGTTTATTAGCTTGTTTTCTCTCATACTCTGGGCTGCACTTATTCATCGGAGAGTGAGTCCATAAGAGAGTGCTGCTTGCTCTTTTCATAATCTTACCAACTCTGCTATACCAAACAGAGGTATTACCTCATTGTGGGCAAGCAATACTTGCTTTCTAAGAGCAATTACTCAAAATGAATTCTACTTCTTTTATTGGTTTTCAACTCCCCATCACATCTTTCTCTAATTTTCCCCACTCTCAGGCAAAAAGCCTCATTCCCAGGGGCACAGCTCAGGGCACTTTCTTCCCAAGCCCTAACATTCCAAAGTAAGCACCTGTAATTTATGATCTCTGCTCCCTTCCTGCACAAAACACATAGCACACAATACACATGTATCAGGAGAGGAATTTCAGTGGAGCGAAAATAGAGCATTATACTAAGACTGAAATAACTGGGCTGTGATTTGGCCTGTGTACCTCACTAGCCCTCTACCCTTGGGTAAATCACTTCCTCTCTGTATTCCCATCTGTAACCGACGGAGGGGGGTTAACACTGTGTGGTAGAAAAGTACTGGCTTAGGAATCTGCAGATCAGGTTTCTTATTCTGGAGTTGTTCCTTGCTAATTTACTCTGTGAGTTGGGAAAAATCATTTCCTCCTTTACCAGGCCACACTCCCCCCACATGTAAAACAAGAAGGTTGAATTAGGTGATTCATTAAGGTCCCTGCCAGCTATGAAATTAGATGTTTTTTTCCATTTGTAGTATTTTTTATTTAATTATTTTTCAAGTACAATTTTCTGTCTTCTACTCCCATCCCAGCCCACCCCCGTGCTCCCCACCTGCCTCCCATTTCCACCCCCCCTTAGCTGTTGTCCATGTGTCCTTTATACTAGTTCCTCTGAAATCCCCTTTTTCCCCTGAAATTCCCTCCCCTCTCCTCTCTGGTCGCTGCCCCCCTGTTCTCTATTTCAGTAAAGAGTTTTATTAAATAAAGAGGACTTGAAGTGCCTACTCTGTGTAAGACACTGTGATGATGGTTGTGAAAGGCGTCACGTTGAGCACAGTGCCTGAGATCCTGAGTAGTTGCTGCTTGCTCCTACAGTCACAGGTTGACCCTGTAGACCCAGTTCCTGTACATTTTTTGCCTTCGATCTCCCACCCTTGAACCCTTCTTCCAACACCTGTAACTTTAACCAGTAATGGGGAAGCTTTTGAAACATACTGCACCATCTGCCTGCTGGAGACATTCACAGTGCTGTCAGCAGTGTGGGCTCTGGCTGCTCTAATTGAGAAGCAGGCCATTAAGCAATAGCAGATTAATGGAGCTGGGAGGAAAGTGGTTGGTTTTTGACAGTGGGGTCTGTGAAAGCCATTTGTGAGCTTGCCCAAAAAGATTAGATCTAAAATGACTTTTAGTATCTTGAATCTGAGATAACTTGTTCTAAATGCATCTTGAAAGGCACCTATAGTTATTTATACATTCATATTGCCAGGCAGAGGGGATGTGATGTATAATAGAAAGATTAGAAGCTTTTTTAAAGATTTTATTTATTTATCTTTACAGGGTAAGGGAAGGAGATAGGGAGAGAAATATTAATGTATGGTTGCCTCTCATGTGTCCCCTGCTGGGAACTGACCTGCAACACAGGCATGTGCCTTGACTGGGAATTGAACCGAGATACTCTGGTATGCAGGCCCGTGCTCAATCCACTGAGCTACACCAGCCAGGGCTAGAAGCTTTTTTGATTATATTAAGCAAAAAAAAAAAAGGTGGCTTTTCTTAGTAGCTAGTCTAGAGTTAAACAACCTTCACTGGTTAGAAAGTTGCCTCACATTTTAATTTTGGGAGAAAGTGACTGAATAGTGCTTACTCAGTGATAAGCATACAGTGTGAGACTAGGCACCCCTTGTTTTATTCTACCCATTTCAACCTGGCTGCTGTATCCCTGCGAAAAGCCAACATGAATACACTATTGCACATCTTATCTAGTTCAACTCCATGGTGAGCTCTTCTTCCCTCTTCTCCCTTGTATTAGGGGCAAGTCTTGTGAGCTGTCTTCTTTCTTCCTTTGCTCACTGAAAACAACTTGGTTCCTGGCCCTCTTGAGATATCACTTCTTTCCAAGCCTCCAAGCCAGCAAGGCCATCACACTGAAAGCTCGAGGTTCTCTGAGCACCTTGGATTTTATTCAGGCTTCCCTCTAGCCACTTGTTCCACGCTGGATGTCAAGAGTTAAAAGATGTTATATTAGGCTGCATTTGAGTTGGCAGAGAAGTCACTAATTCAGTTTTATGTTTTTTTTCCTATTGCAGCCTGACATAAAACTCTAAATCAGGTGAAAGAAAGGAAAGATGGGAAAACTGCTGGAAAGAAGAATGCCATAAGGGCCCAAATGGTCCTTGAGAGTATAACCTCATCAAGGAGCAAAGGCCAAGTGGCCCATAAATGAGTCCTAGGACTGACCAGTCCAATGAAAAAATAGCCTGATGGAGCCTACATGATAATTTTCTGTGTTTGGTGCCATGACCCAACTCATCTCTCCAGGACCATGAGAAGCAGCCCGACACTGGTGGGGACCTTTTGGGCCTTCCTGTCCCTTGTTACTGCTATGGCCAGCTTTACCAGTTACTTCCTGCCATACTGTCTCTTCAGATCCCAGCTGGGGAAGCCAGTGTCATTCAGTACATTCTGGAGGTGCAACTACACTGTACCAGGGGAGGGGGACAGTGTGAACATGGTGGAAGAGTGTGGATGCTATGACAGCTTTAGTGCCATCCCAAGCCTTGCCTGGCAGATGTGCATGATGGTGACAGTTGCAAGCTGTGCTCTCTTCCTCCTGGTGGCATTAGCTGTAGTCCTGGGCTGCTTTGTGGAGGAGCTCATCTCCAGAATGATGGTATGTTGCATGGGAGCAGCACAGTTTGTGGGAGGTAAGACAGTATTGCTGGGATTGTGTAGGTTGGGGAGTTTTGGAGAGGGCAGGGAGGGAGTGGGAAATGTTACCTTATGGGAATTCCCTCTTATCCCTTCTGCTGTGTCCATCTCTAAGGCTATAAAAAGGGACTCCAGTGAAAGAGTCTAGGACTCTCTAAACTGCAAACTTAAAAAAAATATTTTAATGATTATGCTATTACAGTTGTCCCATTCCCCCCCTTTATTCCCCTCTGCCTTATACCCCTTTCCTACCTGCATTCCCCCCCCCCACCTTAGTTCATGTCCATGTGTTGTACATGTAAGTTCTTTGGCTTCTACATTTCCTATAATATTCTTAACCTCCCCCTGTCTATTTTATACATACCAATCATGCTTCTTTTTTCGTGTACTTTTCCCCCCTTCTCCCCCAACCCTCTCCCTGCTGATAACCCTACATATGATCTCCATTTCTGTGATTCTGTTTCTCTTCTACTTGTTTTCTTAGTTTGTTTTTGTGTTTGTAATTTTAGGTTCAGTTGTTGATATTTGTGAGTTTGTTGTCATATTACTGTGCATAGTTTTTGATCTTCTTTTTCTTAGATAAGTCCCTTTAACATTTCATATAATAATGGCTTGGTGATGATGAACTCCTTTAACTGGACCTTATCTGGGAAGAACTTTATCTGTTTCTTCATTCTAAATGATAGCTTTGCTGGATAGAGTAATGTTGGATGTAGGTCTTTGCCTTTCATGACCTTGAATACTTGTTTCCAGCCCCTTCTTACCTGTAAGGTTTCTTTTGAGAAATCAGCTGACAGTCTTATGGGAGATCCTTTGTAGGTAACTCTCTCCTTTCCTCTTGCTGATTTTAAGTTTCTCCCCTTATCTTTAATCTTGGATAATGTAATTATGATGTGCCTTGGTGTGTGCTTCCCTGGGTCCTACTTTTGGGGGACTCTCTGAGCTTCCTGGACTTCCTAGTAATATATTTCTTTTGCCAGATTAGAAGAGTGTTCATTATTTTTCCAAATAAGTTTTCTACTTCTTGCTCTTCCTCTTTTCCTTATGGCACTCCTATGATTCAGATGTTGGAATATTCAACATTGTCCTGAAGGTTCTTTGGCCCCCTCATTTTTTTTAATTCATTTTTCTTCATTCTGTTCCGTTTGAATGTTTATTTTTTCTTTTGATCCAAACCATTGATTTGAGTGCCAGTTTCCTTTCCTTTATTGTTGGTTCCCTGTACATTTTCCTTTATTTCACTTTGCATAGCCTTCATTTTTCCTCTATTTTGCCACCATACTCAACCATATCTGTGAGCATTCTGATTATCAGTGTTTTGAACTATGAATGTGATAGGTTGGCTATCTCTTCATTGCTTAGTTGTATTTTTTTCTGAAGCTTTGATCTGTTCTTTTATTTATGCCATTTTTTTGTTTCCACCCACCTGTTATGTAGTAAGGGGCAGAGCCTTAGGTATTTTCTGGGGCAGAACAACCCAAGTTGCTGTGTTGTGGTGCTGTATGTGGGGGAGGGGTCTAAAAGGGAATGGCTGCTTGCTCAGCTCCCGGCCAGCTTTCAGTCATTTCATCTGCTACCCATAAGTAAATTGGGCCCTTCTGGTGCTGATTCACAGGTGGGTGGGTTTGTGTACATTCTAGGACCCTGTGGGTCTCTCCATCTAACTCTCCTGTGAGACTGGGAGTTAGTCCTGGGGCCACAACCCCAACAAGTTTTTTCAGTCAGAGGTTTTGAGGCTTTATTACCCTGTTCTGGAACCCTGGGTTGCACAGTATGTCTCACTCCCCATTTGTTATTCCCAGTTTATCTGCATGCAAATTTGGAAACACCCAGTCTGCCTACTTCTGCCTCACTCATCCCAGTCTGCCAGCTGCCTCCCCTCTGACCTTTCTGGATGAATTTCTGTTCTTTAGGTCCTGTTTGTCAGACTTCCATACAATTCAACTTTCTGGCACTTCAAGTTGTTTTTTGTTTTTAAATTTGTTGTTGTCCTTGTTTTGGTTGTGCCAGGAGGCACAGTGTATCTACCTACTCCTCCATCTTGGCCAGAAGTTCATTTTTTGTCTGTGAACCACCTAAACTGAAATCTATATCAAGGTTGCATTCACAGCAAAATTGGTTAGTAGGCAGTTTATATTTAGTTTCTTTTTCAGCCTCCATTTTCATCACCTTCTGCCTGCAGTGTGTTTATTCAAGAATATTATCCAGGTCTACTTTCCAGGAGCAACAACATATATTATAGTTTTACTGCTTCAAAATAAACTTGGTCTTTAAAAGCCCAGATCTCAAAGGACAGTGATGCAATAAACACATACACACAAATGCTAAGTACTAACAATAGTTTAATATAAATTTCTTGCCAAATAAATATATCTGTAATAGCTAAATTATAGGTGCAAAACAGACTGTAGATAACTGATTATTTGGTCTCATCTAAGGCTATCACTGTCTGGTGGCCATTAACAGTCTATTCACATTCCTATGGCCCTGTCCCATCCTTTAATCCACTAAATTAGTGTAGGTGAACTGAGATACTGACACTGTATAAATGAGCTAGGAAAGACCAAATGCAAAATAGCAGCCTGCAGGAAGGCAATGGGAGCACTTTAATTTGAATTATATGGGGGAAAATAGCAAGTTTAGATGGACAAATACATGTATGAATAAGTGAGCTATATTTTACACCTGGATGATGCACTGGACAAAAGTGCTGATAGAAGCTATAAGTTGAAGTGTGTTGTTATTGCTCATGAAGTTTTGGAATCATTATTCAATTCATTATCATCTTCATTAGCAACACATTGTGGGTAACTGGAGCCAAAAAATTTAGATCCCACTTCTGGTTCTTCTGCTAAGTTGCCCTGTGACCATGGGCAAATGAGAATAATTTGTCCTGTGTTCACTTCCTTTTTTCCTTGAATTTGATCACTGGCAAGATAGCTCACATCCCAATTTTCTTTATTCTCTCCAATGACTGAGTTCAGGTAGTCTTCGGGTGAGATGGTACTGATGAAGTAATATTCAACACTGATTTTTCACCTCCTCTCCCTGGATACATCTAGTAATCTTTTTTAATTAATTTTATTTAGTTATTTTTCAAGTAGTTTTTTTGTCTATTTCTCTCATCCCAGCCGCCCCTGCCCCTTGCTCCCACCTCCCTCCCATTTCCAACCCCATTAGTTCTCGTCCTTGTGTCCTTCCTATTTGTTCCTCCAAATCCCTCTCCCTTTTTCCCCTTAACTTCCCTTCCTTCTCCCCTCTGGTCATTATCCCATTGTTCTCTATTTCAGTGTCTTTGTTTTTTTTTTTATGCTTGCTTGTTTGTTTTGTTGTTTAGCTTCCTGTTAAAGGTGAGATCATATGGTATTTGTCTTTCATCACTTGACTTATTTCACTCAGCATAATGCTTTCCAGTTCCATCCATGCTGTTGCAAAGGGTAGGAGCTCCTTCTTTCTCTCTGCAGCATAGAATTCCATTGTGTATATGTACCACAATTTTTGGATCCATTCATTTCCTGATGGGCACCTAGGTTGCTTCCAACTCTTGGCTATTGTAAATTGTGCTGTTATGAACATTGTGGTGCATAGGTTCTTTGATATTGATGTTTTAGGATATAATCCCAGCAGTGAAATTGCTGGGTCAAAAGGCAGGTCGATTTTTATTTTTCTGAGAAAATTCCATACTGTTTTCCATAATGGTTGTACCAGTCTGCACTCCCACCAACAGTGAACTAAGGACCCCTTTTCCCCACAACCTCTCCAACATTTGTTGTTTGTTGCTTTGTTTGTTATAGCCATCCTGACTGGTGTAAAGTGGTATCTCATTGTGGTTTTAATTTGCATCTCTCTGATAGCTAATGATATTGAGCATCTCTTCATGTGTCTCTGAATGTTCTGTATGTTCTCCTTGGAGAAGTGTTTGTTCAAGTCCTTTTCCCATTTTTTAATTGGGTTGGGTGTCTTCTTAGAGTGGAGTCGTGTAAGTTCTTTGTATATTTTGGAGATTAAACCTTTGTCTGATGTATCATTGGCAAATGCTTTCCTATACAGTTGGTTGTCTTGCTAATTTAATACTGTTTTCTTTAGCCACGCAGAAGCTTTTTATTTTGATGAGATCCCATTTGTTTATTCTTTCCTTTATATTCCTTGCCCTAGGGGACATATCAGTAAAAAAGTTGCTGCATGAAATATCTGAGATTTTCTTGCCAATGTTCTCCTCTAGGACTTTAATGGTGTCATGGCTTATATTTAAGTCTTTTATGCACCTTGAATTTATTTTGGTATATGGTATAAGTTGGTGCTCAAGTTTCATTTTTTTGCACGTAGCTGTCCAGTTCTCCCAGCACCATTTGTTGAAGAGGCTATCTTTACACCATTTTATGTTTCTGCCCCCTTTGTCAAATATTACTTGACTGTAGAGAGTTGGGTTAATTTCTGGGCTCTCTGTTCTGTTCCATTGGTCTATGTGCCTGTTTTTATGCCAGTACCAGGCTGTTTTGGTTACAGTGGCCTTGTAATAGTTTGATATCAGGTATTGTGATCCCCCCTACTTTGTTCTTCTTTCTCAAAAGTGTAGCTGCTGTTCTGGGTCATTTATGGTTCCATATAAATTTTTGAAGTGTTTGATCTATGTCTGTGAAATATGCCTTTCGTACTTTAATAGGTATTGCAGGAATGTGTGTATTGCTTTGGGTAGTATGGATATTTTGATGATGTTAATTCTTCCAATCCATGAACAAGGTATATGTTTCCATTTGTTTGTGTCTTCCTTGATTTCGTTCTTCAGGGCTGTGTAGTTTTCTGCATAGAGGTTTTTTTACCTCCTTAGTTAGGTTTATTCCCAGATATTTTATTTTTGTTTTTGCTATATCAAAAGGGATTTTTTCCTTGATTTCTGCTTCTGCTGATTCATTGTTGGTATACAAAAATGCCTTTGATTTCTGGATATTGACTTTGTAACCAGCTGTTTTGACAAACTCATTAATTAGTTCGAGCA